TCTCTGTACGTTTTATTGTCAACAATCATTGGTGCAGTGATCAAAGCCTCGGCCTTAAGTCTGGGGTAACCTGGGATCTCTCCCCCCCCCCCCTCCTCAAATATACCTGACTGTTTTATTTATCATTTTTTTTTGGAGGGGGGGGGGGGGGTTGGTGGGAGGGGGTGTGGGCGTAGGATCAAAGCCCCTTCACATTCAGACTGTCCATGTCTTCAATTCTGTTAATTTTTGTGTGTGTGGAATTTATCTTCTTCTTCTTCTTCTTGCCCCGTCCTGTTGTGCCTTTGAGCCCCCCCCCCCCCCCGGTGACGTCCAGACCCCCCCCCCCCCAGGTGACGTCCAGACAACCCCCAACCCCCAGGTGACGTCCAGACAACCCCCCCCCCCCCCCCCCCCCAGGTGACGCCCGGACACTACCCCCCCCCCCCAGGTGACGTCCAGACACTACCCCCCCCCCCCCGAAAGACGTCCAGCCACCCCCACGTACTAGCGGAAAAAGCACTGATCTAGATAATCCGCTGTTCTCGTCTAGTCCCCGGCTCAAGTCTAATCCGCGAGAAATCACGAGCCACCGGAAATGGCTTCTGGCCAATAAATCAAGATGGTACCATCACTGAGCCGTGCTGGTTGTAACACGACCTCCCACTTGCCATGATCCCCCCTCGTCGAGAGTTTCCCCGCCGGCCCCCGGCTCCAGATGAGTGTTCCATGTACCGCTGGAGGACTCACAGTTTCTAGGATTGGGATTTTATCCCAGGACATCCTAGAATGAATAATACAAGGGCTATGGCAAGTCTCTTGAGATCTCCACAATATGACGGATGCGGCGAAATATTCACCCATTACTGCTCTAGCATAGTATCATTAGCTGGTAAATCAAAAGACGAGATCGATGAGAGATGTAACAGAACAAACCAACTCTTTCAAATAAGGTGAAAATAAAAGAAAACTTATACTAAACTCAAAATTGTTAATTCTAGTGAAAAATCGATTCTTTATTAATATTTTACCCCAAACAGGAGAAATCCACAGGTCACGGGACAGTCTAATATTTCAGGGGGAGGAACCTAGGCTGCATGAAGTCGTGGGACCTAGGCTGTATACAGTCGTGGAACCTAGACTGCACTCTCTCGTGGGACGTAGTTTGGTTGGGGTTAGGGCCAGTTCTAGATGTTCTGGGGTCATTAAAAGCATCAGAAAGCCGGGAAACCCAGTCTTACCACCCTCTAAAATGTTGGACTGTCCTGTGACGTCATTTGGGGTAGGATATCACGAAAGAACCGTAAAATCAGTACGGCTGTATAGAAACATGGAGAACAACTAAAACAATTACTAATGAACTACAAACACTCATGAACTAATAAGAAAATACCCAGCGTTTTGTGCGGAAGGCGCCTACTTTCCTGCAACTGGCATAGGCTGAAAGTGGTTTTCCCTACAACCCGCCGGATTAGCCCTACCTGTGTGCAGGTAAACTTGTGGGAAATCCCTTGGCTGTTGAAATCAGTTTCCCCGGCCAAGGAAAACAGTCACAGGACAACTAATGGGCAACCACAATAATAAAAAAGGCTTGCTTTGTTGGCGGTACGCAACAGTAAGGAGTACTGACACCTTTTCTTCTTTCTTTCATTTCTTTTCAACTCAATTGAGTATTATTATTATAATTTATTCTATCTCGGGGAGTCCGAGACTTCCTAGGGAGAGTCCAATATCATGGAAGGGGGGGGGGGGGCAGAGAGGAGGTAGTCAGAGTTAGATGTAGCGGTGCTCATTACACACCGTAACATTCCAAGTATATTGGGCTTCCCCTTTGAACTCTCAGGTTCCCACGAGATGGGGTGAAGTAAAATGAAAGGACCATATTTTGTAAAAGACATCTTGTGGTGTGTACCGGCACCCTTTTTTTTTCTCCTAGGAATAAAGAGATACTGATAATGATACCAATAACAATAATAAACTGCAATAAATGCCTCATCCTGAAAAAAAAAAAAAAAGGATTTGAAAGGATTTGGAAAAGAAAAAATAGAAAGGGGTAAGAAAAACATATAGTATGTTTCAGCTTTACAAAACCACATACAATAAACAACAAGTGGACGTTGCGGAGATTAGCCTTCATCGGCAGAACAACAACAACTACAAGAAACAGCATATATCATGCATGTTGCGGCCCTTTTCAAGCAAAAAAATTTTTTTTTATTATTCAGTGACTTCGGTTAGTTGTCGTATGTGATCCTCATGATAACACACGTGTAACCAGATGGCCCTTTGGGACACTCTCAGTTTCACAATAGAAAACAACACAGTAAAGGTCCTTTCTCCACGCCTTTAGGCGTATAGGGCATATAGGGCATATAGGGCTAGATCTATATTTTATAGACCAATCGGCACAAGATGGGTAATCTGGTCAGCATCACGCTGGCCGCCTTTGCTTCTCGGCGACTGCACCCGGTACCCACTCAAGGCTGGATCGATCTGGGAGTCAAGGTCATTTTTGACAAAAGTTCGGCTTCGCCAGGGAGCGAACCCACGACCTTCCGATCCGCACGCGAGCGGCTGGCCGCTACGCCACGGCGACTCACTTGACATAAAAACGCACTCAAACAGACTGATTGAACTGACCGCATTGCTTATCCTGCATGGTTTTCTTACCATGTTATGTCTGCTCTATGCTTACTGTCTTAATATCTTTACTGAAGTCACTTCATTTTGCTGTATGCTTATCAATAAATCGGGTACCGTCTCCGCAATGAAGGTTGGCTCCAATGGATCTTTAACACGCCCTGCCTCTTGTCTTGGCTATACGTTCTCTCAGACTGCTCTTTGTCTTTCTCTAGATTGTGTCTTCCCACTTGTATTGTTGTCTACCTCTTGCTCTCTTGCCCTCGAGCTTTCCCTCCGGTGTGTTTTTAAAAGAGTGTTACGTCTTTCAATAGCGCCAAACTATTTCATTTGTGCTTTTTAAAAATAGATTTCAATAATTTTCTGTTCATTCGTAGTTTTTTTTTTTTTTTAGAACCTCTGCATTTGATTGTTGTCCACTCTCTCTCTCTCTCTCTCTCTCTCTCTCTCTCTCTCTCTCTCTCTCTCTCTCTCTCTCTCTTGTCTGTCTGTCTCTCTTTCTTTCTCTTGTCTGACGGTCTGTCTGTCTTTCTCTTTCTCTCTCTCTTTCTCTCTCTCTTTCTCTCTCTCTCTCTCTTTCTTTCTTTCTTTCTTTCTCTCTCTCTCTCTCTCTCTTTCTTTCTTTCTTTCTTTCTTTCTTTCTTTCTTTCTTTCTTTCTTTCTTTCTTTCTTTCTTTCTTTCTTTCTTTCTTTCTTTCTTTCTTTTCTTTCTTTCTTTCTTTTCTTTCCTTTCTTTCTTTTTCTTTCTTTCTTTCTTTCTTTTCTTTCTTTCTTTCTTTCTTTCTTTCTTTCTTTTTTTTCTTCTTTCTTTCTTTCTTTCTTTCTTTCTTTCTTTCTTTCTTTCTTTCTTTCTTTCTTTCTTTCTTTCTTTCTCTCTCTTTCTCTCTGTCTTTCTCTCTCTCTTTCCTTCTTTCTCTCTCTTTCTTTTTCTCTCTTTCTCTCTGTCTTTCTTTTTCTCTCTCTCTTTCTTTCTCTCTCTTTCTCTCTGTCTTTCTCTCTTTCTCTTTCTCTCTCTCTCTCTCTCCATAAAATACGACCTAATCGTCTGTATATCCACATTTCCAGAGACTCAGTTCGATTTTCAAGTGGCTTGTTCATTGTCCGTCGGTGTCTGTGGCTAGGGCGTTGCGAACGCGATTTGTAATGTCGAGTTGCTGGGACTCAAGCCTGAGTCCGAAGAAGCTCAACGCAGTGAACGAACTCTGTAGCACTGGCGAGGATCCTGAAATACTTTAGGTAGATTTTTAACTCCAAATTTTGCCCGGGCAACGCCGTTGGGCAACTTTTTTCGATTTCCAACTGCCAAGAGATTTTTTTTACTTGCGCAACAATACACACTGGCGTTCAATCTTACTACCCAGAGACCAGGTGAAGCTACTAGACGTCCATGTGAAAAAATACCAGCCTTCACCGGGACCTGAAATCGGGACAACGCAGCCCCAAAATATCTCTCGTTTTACTACAAAGGTCGGCTCTGTGGCTAAGTCGATGCGAACGCTTCGTAATGCCGGGATGCCGGGTTCGATCCCAGCTGCGGGCCATGCGCCTTGCGTTGGTTTCGACAGTGGTTTCAAGAAAGCCGACCGTCCAGAGAGAAATGGCAAACTACTGGACGTAAATTGCCTCGAAAAACCACGCAACAGCCAGGGGCTGTTGGGGTTGGTTCTGCAACGTCCTCTAAAGAATACGCACCAAATCTTTACTACAATGTCCACGTTTGGTTCGATATACGCCATCATATCTTGAAGTCCACCAAATCAGCCTTGCTAACCACGTTCGTTGTATCCCCCATTCAACGGACAGACCAGATGTGACTTTGCAATTCTAATAATAAACATGCTTTATTGAAACCTGCGTCCTGGGCTATTTTCTTTAGCAGAAAACTGAGGAGAATTTGGAACAGGTAAATTAATGCAACAGATCAGACATTGTAATTTATTCATCTGCCGTGCTTGTTCAATGTGGCCAGGTTTTTTTCGGACAATTATATTCTGCATGTACGATTGATATGAGATGAAAATTGGAGTGGTTGAGGGAGGAGAAAATGTGGAAGGAGGAGATGTGGAGGAGAAATGGTGGAAGGAAGAGAAATGGGGGGAAGGATGAGAAATGGTGGAGAGGGAGAAATGGTGGAGGGAGGAGAAATGGTGGAGGGAGGAGAAATGGTGGAGGGAGGAGAAATGGGGGAGGGAGGAGAAATGGGGGAAAGAAGGAGAAATGGTGGAGGGAGGATACATGGTGGAGGGAGGAGAAATGGTGGAAGGAGGAGAAATGGTGGAAGGAGGAAAAATGGTGGAGGGAGGAGGCAAATGGTGGAGAGGAGACAGGTGGAGGAAAAATGGTGGAGGGAGGAGATATGGTGGAAGGAGGAGAAATGGTTGATGGAGGAGAAATGGTGGAAGGAGGAGAAATGGTGGAAGGAGGAGAAATGGTGGAAGGAGGAGAAATGGTGGAGGGAGGAGAAATGGTGGAAGGAGGAGAAATTGTGGAGGGAGGAGAAATGGTGGAAGGAGGAGAAATGGGGAGGGAGGAGAAATGGTGGAAGGAGGAGAAATGGTGGAAGGAGGAGAAATAGTGGAAGGAGGAGAAATGGTGGGTGGAGGAGAAATGGTGGAAGGAGGAGAAATGGTGGAAGGAGGAGAAATGGTGGAAGGAGGAGAAATGGTGGAAGGAGGAGAAATGGTGGAAGGAGGAGAAATAGTGGAAGGATGAGAAATGGTGGAAGGAGGAGAAATGGTGGGTGGAGGAGAAATGGTGGAAGGAGGAGAAATGATGGAGGGGGGAGAAATGGTGGAAGGGGGGTGAAGGGGAATAGAAATGGTGGAAGGAGGAGAAATGAAGTGGAAGGGGGAGAAAGGTGGAAGGAGGAGAAATGTGGAACGGGAGGAGAAATAATGGAAAGGAGAGAGAGAATGGTGGAAGGAGGAGAAATGGTGAACTCCGGAGGGAAAATGGTGAAAGGGAGGAGAAATGGTGGAAGGAGGAGAAATGGTGGAAGGAGGAGAAATGGTGGAGGGAGGAGAAATGGTGGAAGGAGGAGAAATGGTGGAAGGGGGAGAAATGGTGGGAGTTTTAGGAGAGAAATGTGGAGGAGGAGAACCCTGGATGGGGAAGGAGGAAATGGTGGAAGGGGGAGAAATGGTGGAGGGAGGAGAAATGGTGGAAGGAGGAGAAATGGTGGAAGGAGGAGAAATGGTGGAAGGAGGAGAAATGGTGGAAGGAGGAGAAATGGTGGAAGGAGGAGAAATGGTGGAAGGAGGAGAACTGATACACGCCCAATAATTTACATGATAGAGAATGTGAAAGATTGGGGTCAGGGTTATGAGGTCAATCAGAATTGAAAGTGTGAGAGAGAGTGAGATTAAGAGAGAGTGAGGTGTGGGAGAGAGAGAGGTGTGGGAGAGAGTGAGGTGTGGGAGAGAGTGAGGTGTGGGAGAGAGTGAGGTGTGGGAGAGAGATAGGTGTTGGAGAGATTGAGGTGTGGGAGAGAGTAAGGTGTGGGAGAGGTTGAGTATGTGTGACAATAAATGTGTGTGTAAGAGAGAG